CAGTAGGCTACCAAAATTGGGGATGGAGACCACCCGTGACCTCGGAAGCGGAACCGTCCACACCCACACTACGTCACGAGTCTACAATCGAGGGATCTTAATTATGAACGTGTCGATTATCATCTTAAATTTTCTACCTTAAAAGGTCTATAAAGAGTCGCTAAGTGTACGCAATTTATTCGAGATTACGGCCGCCTGCAGTCCTTATGTCACGACTCGCTTACGAGTCGCGCGGACACTTCTGTTCACAAAACCGGGATTACCAGCACGCGCCGGAGATGTTACGTAATCGCAATTTGTGCTTTTATAACCATTTCAAAATGCGCAAATGTTTCAGTAAACAATGATAAATAATTACGCGGTATATGCGCGTTTTGCCTGTGTTTAGCTTGTCAAACACTTTGTCACTTTGTCAAGGATTGTGATACTTTTATAGCTTAAAATACGTTCTGGGAAAACGGCACTAAACCTGCTTTATACACATTAATTCCAAAAGAAGATCTAAGTATAAAAGATGAGCAATACAGAGGATTGAACATACAACATACTTATTACGAGATGTTTCATCATTACATAGTGGTAATGAAATGCAATGCATCGTGACTAGGCTAGCAGATAAGATTGAGGATCGTCGGGTAGGGTTTGGTGCGGGTCCGGGCATCGAGCGTGCGGCGATGGTCCCCCGCTATGGTCACATCACGCGCCGGCTATCACTGTTATAACGCAGTTACCCGCGGGTGCGCCGCTCCTACCGACACTGCTGATACTGCTCTATACGCCGACCGTAACAGCTTCGTACTTAAGATATATTATAAACTAGACGTATACAAGATACACTGCAATGTCACGTAAAATGTCTTATAAAGTTTCATGTTGATTGAAAACTCTTCCGTCTCAAAGGTTGGCAATGCATCTGTGGTTCCTCTGGTATTGGTGATGTCCATAGGCGTCGATGTACACCTCGGTGTTGCCGCTGCTCGTTTGTACCCTGCTTTTATAAAAAAAAAACTATTTATACAGCTGAAGATTTTTTAGCCTCTTATTATCATAGTTGTAGTAACTCTATACGTCGACGACCATAAACTCTGTATTGAAAAGTTATCATAACGAGATTTACGCCTAACGTGTATAAAAAAATTCAAACTTGCCTCACGTCAAAAGTAAATAGGATTTAGGTTTGATTATAAAGTATCAAAGAGCAGAAGGCGTTGTATTCACTAGGAGCGAGTGTGATTGCGGCTTACTACAGATAAGGTAAATAGCTCATACAATTGTTAGAATGGGAGGCTCGGAGCCTCTTTTGTTAAGGAAGTAGTGTCTAATGGGGCGAGTGTAGCCACTGGCTAGACTTACATGGTGTCGATTGCTATGCACCGTTGGTACCAAAACGGACTGCCTATTGCCTACTTAATACTCGACCGTTGACTCCGAAGGACCAATTTGAATTTCGTATAAAAGGCTAAACTACTATACTATAGATATCTGTGAATATTTTCGAAGTCTAAGTGAGTATTAAAGAAGTGTTTACGTCTTTATATCTAGGTGCTATCTTATGTCTCATAATACGTGTTGACGGGTAGCGATTTAACGCGGAAAATTTAGTATTCCGGTATAATTTTCTCATAAAAACATTACAGTACGGCTTAGATACATATAATTAGGCTCCGAGATTGTTGATCGTGCTCTCAATTTGCGTATGTAAACTCGCTCGAGATGACTTTGTTGACATTATTTATATTAAAAGCGAAACTAACACATTTATATGTAGATTACAAGTTACATACTTTTGTTTTCGATTTTATTGTAGCAAAATTTTCAATTAACAAATAAAGCGCGAAGAAAATAGTGTAAAGTTACTTTAACTTGAATAACCACGTGATACTCGTGTGTAAAAATATGTTCATCCTACAACTTCCTACTAAAAATAGTTAGCATTTGGACTCCAGACAGCACCTTGAATTTTGGAAAACCTTTTTAAATTTATTTATAATTTCACTAACTATTGTAAAGCTGAATACTATACGACGTTACAAGGTGTAATGTATCGTAGGCCAATACCCAGCTCAATAAGAAGAAAAAATGTGCGAATAATGGTCGTGTCTACATCGTATATTTCACGTATCAGTTCATTTTAACATTAATAGCGCACTTCGTTAGTGGTCCCGAACGTACCGTAACTAGTGTCATTAAATTTGCATAGAAATCTAACTAAATTAGTTCACGACGATGCGTTGAATTTCAATAGTTGTTTAAGATATAGAAATTTACTAAAAGAAAATTACCTTGCCTTTTATTGTTCGGTATAATTTTTATCATAAACATTATGAAAAGATCTGCTTTAATATCAGAGGAACAATTACCAAAAATGTACCATAGTTGGACAAATTTATATAAACCGAGTAAATGATGTCCTTTGATTTATTTTAACCCACTGATATCGAAGAGATCTTCCAAAGTAATCAGATATCAGAAGAATTGTAACATATAACTGGTCTAAATTAATCCAAATTAGCTCTGAATGGTTTGCACATGGTGGCAATCTCACGATTGTCCCCCGTGTGCAGCGATAAGAATAATATTAGGTATACGTTCTGTACTAAGAACAACTATCGCGATTCACGAGAACAATAATTTCTGTTCCGCAATAAAGTTTATCGAACTCCTTATTAAATTTAATATTACGTAGTACACGACCTCGCTCTTGACACATTTCCATGTAAAGATTTCATATGTACAAAATGCTGGCAATGTGTGATAGGAAAAGTAGAATTTCAGAACTAAGTTTAACAGAGTGAGTATATCGAAAGCTAGAAATGCTAATATTTTACTCAAAACATTGAGGTGGTCCGCGCCTAATAATTGGAGTCATTATAATCCTTTTTCCTACAAAGGGTAGGTACAGTATATACCACCCTATAATTTTTGTGTAAATATTTACACATTGTTTATCGTACGTCGATAAATAATTTGTTTTTCTTATTTATCGAACTGAAAGAATTGGTTAAATAAAAACAATTTATTTCTTTATAATTGTTACCAGTTTAATTTTAATTATGCTACTTAGTACAATATCTAAACACCTAATTGATAGATAAATTATCGGTCACAAAACTATTGATATAAAATATCAACACTGTTTGCTTCGGCTTGTTCAGGAAAGATATTTAAATTATTGATATCTTTATTTTTGTTACTATCATAAACTAAATTAATTTTTCAGAAGAAGATAAATATTTTGCAGAGTATACTGCCCTAACAGCTACAGCCGTTATGTTCAATGCATTGGATTTGTAGCGGTTTCTGTCTTATATTTATGTAAACAGATGATATTAAATTATACAGGGAGATAGAATACTAACTCTAGCTTGTCTAGTCTACTTACACATTAACAATTGCTTGTAATGGTATCCCGTAGGCGTCTCCGAATAGAGTTCAAAATATGTTCCCATGTTTTGTTATCTTAAGCATTAAAAGGTTATCGATTTACATTAGACTGTAGGCGATCTACAACGTACAGATAATCAAGGTGACATCAGCGCCATCATCTTTCCGAGGTCAAGCCTCGTGAATATCTAACAATCGTATTCTACATCTTGGTATTGTTATCAGATATTTAAGCCTCTGTTTAAGGTACTGTTGCAGAACTTCCCTCCATTTCTCTTCGATTTAAAACTATTCTGTACAAACAATGTTATACGTAAAATTAAAACTTAAAATATCATTACTATTAACTCATAATAATCTGTGGGATCTAGGGCTCACGGGTTATCGAAAATCAATCTTTTGCCGCCAACTTTCAGTACAATCCTGGAAACTGAACTAAGTATAATACGTTAGTAATGTTCAATATGATATAATATTTTTTTTCGTCATTAAAATCTCTAATATATGTACATTTGGTAGAATTTCAATGCATAGTAAATATTTAACAACAAAAATATTGAGAACTCGGTCTTCAACCATATTTTACAATGTATAACATTGTATCAACAACTCGTAAAATAATATTACTTTATCTGTAATATTTCGTAGTTAATTACAATTTAGATGATTAACAAAATGCCTAAATGGAATGGCTATGATTAGATTCTCTCTAATGAAGTGATTTGTGTTTTATTACTCTCCGCGTAACTATTGGAACAGTCTTGTTATTACGTAAAACCGGATCAGATCTCATTTAATTCATTTACCAGTTATTTTGAAACGTAAATAGTTTATAGCGTCTATAATTCTAATAGCTGATTAATTAGTAATTAGGTCATAAATTTATACAAGTAAAACTTTACTTCTCTATCTATAACAGTTTAACTAATCTTATATGTTTCCAAATAAAGAAGAGATGTCGAATATCCCAATTCGGTAACTATAACGAAGTAACATCCCGAGCCGAGGTTCCTGAGGGAGCCCTGAAGTCTTGTTACTCTTAAACGAAGTTCAGGCTAACCGCCATCTGCGCTCGGCCACCTCAAGCCCGGTGAAGCTGTAAATGTCTCTTCAAGGCAAACAGTGACTACTCAGTCACAAAAAAAACGATGTGTAGAACAGACTGTCCTATCGTATTTATTGAATTTATTTACGTGTTGATTTTGATATTGTATTTAAGTTAGATGCTTACAAAATCTTGATGTTTTAAAAATAACAGTAACATTATTCTAAGCCAATGTCTACATATTTCTATGCTTATATTACAAAAGGGAAAGATTTGTTTGTTTGAATAGACTCCAAAACTTCTGAAAAGTGAAAAGGTTTGAAAAATTCTTTCACTGTTCGGAAGCTACACTATCTCTGGTTGATATAGATTACATTTATTACTAGAGTTTTTCGACTACGCGCGGACGAATTCGCGGCAACTGCTACACTGCTATTTTTCTTATATACTAAAATTTTACATATAAACATTTCACTCGCAGAAATATTATTTTTATCAGGGTTTATTGCAAATAATTTCAAAATCAAATCATTGCTACTGCTTTATTTTCTATTTGTTTTATATAACAAAATGTAGGAAAATATTAGTTCATTGCTATAAAAATATGCCTATTTGCTACGTTATTTTCTTAGTAATCTGTTCTTGTAAAGCACATGATTACTTGAATGGTAAGTTATAATATTGTAGATATACCCAAATTTCCAAACCAATACGACTTAGGGACCTTCAAGAAGCGAGCATACGTTTTCCTTAAAGGCCGGCAACGCATCTGCAATTCCTCTGGTGTTGCAGATGTCCATGGGTGTCGTTGATCAACTAACTCCCGCCACTCGTTTGCCTCTTTCTCTTATAAAAAAAAACATATACCCAACTAAATGAAGCAGACAATTGATAATTATTTCGTGTTCATTACACAGGTGATAAAGTTTTCAATAGACAGAAACTAGAAAGTTTACTTCAAAAGTACATGAAACCAATTAAAAAATTATCAGGTAACTGAAAAATGTATTAAAATACAGTTATATTATTTACTTATAACAAATAAAAAAAATGTTTTAGAACAGTTTCCGAATCGCGAGATCGAACTGCAATTTGAAATAGATGGGAACAAAGGTCATATTGTAGCTTCGCCTAAAACAAAATATGTTCGGGTACCAGCTGCTTTAATTCGTAAGTTTTTTTAGTTTATATATTAATATTCAAGCCTACGACCCACATGGGATAGGCAGAGATTTAATAATATAATTTCAAGACATCTAGCATCTCTAATGTTTTCATTACGTTACTATGCATTTCTCTGTATATATTTTTAGTTAACTGTTTTATTTACAGCGGAGTTAAATACAGTTTCTGGTAATCTTTTACCTTTTTATTTATTATTTTTAAGTGGATGTATGCACGATAGCATGATACTACTTTGATATCTTATTTGTCAAAATTATATCAGTTTTACATTTGAACAGATGTAAGCACGCCTAACGTCATGGCATTAACTACATCTTGGCTAACAACGAACTCAGTTGCCAGTATGACAACAATAAAAGGTATTTTTAAAAAGGACTTTAACTAATAAACTAACTACAGGCTTGAGGTCAAAAAAAAACAAAAATTAAGAATTTATTAGCTTGCTTCAAAATAAGGCATCAAGAAGTTATTTGCTTAAATCATATTGTGTTACCAACATGATTGGTTTGAATTAAAAAAATGTTATAGTTTCATTTATTTCTAAAAGTTAGTAAGAAAAGTGTAAAGAACTATTTCGATAAAAAAGTGCACTTTTACCCAATAAAATTTTACTTTTTACTCTCATAGTAATATTATGGATGGATGGATGGATGGATGGATGGATATTAGAAGGTATCTCCTGAACGGATCAATGGATCTCGATGTATTTTAGAAAAGATTTAGAACTCAGTCTCGAAGATTGCTTGGCTATATAATAAAGTTTTTTTTAATTTCGCGCAGACGGAAACGCGGGCAAAAGCTTTGTATTAATAAACTCACAGCGTAAATAAGTCAATACCGATATTTCTTACAGATTTTATCTATAAAGTCGGGAATAGTTACATTAATAATAATAACGTTGGTGGTGAGTAAAGCAAGCATCAATAAATTTATCAGACCAACGCCATCTAGGACACAAAGAGCAAAAACTAAATTGTATTCAAAACAAAGTTACAGATCCAGATCAAAAGCTAATATCTTTGGGTGAATTGAAAAAAATATTAGAAGAATATGACAGAGAGGGTAAGTTGGTAAAAATAAAACAAAAGCTTTCTCAAAGTAGAGAAGTGTGGTAAAGCACAAATTATGTCTTTATTCAATTTGGATTTCATTAATTATATTAAATTTTTACCAGTTAAAAGAAATGGTGAGGACAGGCATCCGTCGCTTAAGAAAGACCTTTGTTTAGCATTAGGTAATTACTTTTTTTTAAAACTTCACAAGTTAAAATTAATACCCAAAGAGTAACAAAACATTTGGGCCCTATCCCCCTTGCGTAGAAATATAAAATATATTTACGTAACGAAATTCGCATATAATATAAATCACTTAACTAACTTTAACTTTAAAATTACAGAATTTAAAACCCAATTTTCAAATTATAATTTAAAACGTATTATTTAATTTGTGTTAGTGTCTTTATGATAATAGTATTAATAGTGTGAATTGCCTATCGATAACAGGAATGAAATATGGTCTCAGTAAGTGCGAACAATTATTTATAATCAATTAAAATTGACATTGAATTATAAATATCCAACAGTTTGTGATAAATAGATAAATATATTTTTATTTAGAATGCGACGACAGTGCCACAGAGAATACAAGTGACTTACGATCGGTAACTTCATCAAAAAGTGGTAACTTTCATAAGATTTTGCAAATTTTAAATGAGGGTATGTAATTATATTTTTGTTCAAACTTTTGTCTTTTGTCTCTCAATATATTTATATTTACGAAACTGTTATTTTTAGGAGAAGTGGTGGAACGCAATACCTTTAGTGGAAACAGTAAAGAAAATTTATATTGGTTTAAAATAAAATTCCCAAAATAATGAAAAGCCGGTTCTAATTCTTTCTTATCTTTGTATTTAAAGTTATTTACTATGGTTACAAAGCAGTATACTTCTTTTCAAATATCTTGGCGGCTCAAAGTGAAAAAGTTTGGCTATCTAAGTAAGTTGAAAGGACTCTATTTTCGCAATTCCACGACTTGCGCGTATTTTACGTGTGAGCAGGATCCGGACTCCAGCCAGCCCAACTTTCCAAAGAATCCCAACAATCCAAAACTGTGCTCTGTTGTGACTCATGCGAAATTTAGTGCAGTCAAAATATCTGAAAACTATTATACACGGAGTGTTACAAGCGTGGGTTACCACTGGTGACACATGTACACGACATATTGCCACTTGTTTCATTCTATTAAAAAAAAAAACAAAGATAGTGATATACAGATATAACCGCATTGGTCAATCACATTAAGCTACGATAAAAACCATAAACAAATATGTATGGTCATTTAATTTAAGAGAGTAACATTTAACACATATTAAACAAGTGAAGGCCGCACAATGACACATCGTCTGTCGAAACAATGTCAGAGAGCTCACTAAATCAAACAAAGAACAAATTAAACCAATCAATTACTTGTACAAGAACTATTATTTAAAGCACTTGACCTCTGGCTCTTCGAGTCAACTTTAAAAAATTAACTCGAAAGCTGTTTTGACGCTTAGATGCTGATCATTTTGCTTCAACGTCTGTTCAAAAGTCAACCTTCAATTTTCTATTGTATTCAGTAATTATTGTACTTATTAAAAGATTAACAGGGTTGATAAAATATTTATTATATTATTTTTCTATTGGTTAATCGGAGAAGGTTAATGTATTCAGAGTCACAATCGTCTCGTATATCAATATTACAATGTTTTCATAAAATTAATTATTATTTTATATCATTGATTGTATTTGAAATCAATATAAAACACGTTTATCAACAAGCTTTTGAATGCTTTTGTAACTTTGCATTAAAAGTATCTGTGGCATAAACGTAGTTTAAATTAGTAATTACAGTAGATTAAACGTAAGCTTACGCGACTAAAAATTATCAACATAAAATTTTGATTTATCTTTATATATATAATTCTTCTGTGAGTGTGTATGTCACTGAACTTCTCTCAAACGACTGGACCGATTTTGATGAAATTTTTTGTGTGTGTTCAAGGGGATCTGGAAATGGTTTAGATTCACAATTTTGTCCGCTGGACAATGTTTTTTTAATTAATTTTTAATTTTTGGAATGTTTTACATTGGATCCGACAGACGGCGCTACCATCGCAGTCTCAAATTTTAAATAATATTCGAATTTTCAAATTAAAGACGTGTAGATAGGACAACGTCTGTCGGGTCCGCTAGTAATATTATAAACCTTATATGAAAAGTCTTAAATCTATGATATGAAATAAAATATTAAAAACGAATAATTTACTGAAATATATTATTAAAAGGAGTCCCTTTAGACAAGGTCCCGAACTGGCAGCGTTCCCCTTTGGATAGCTAAACTAATTCTTTGCCCGAGGTAGCTGCCAGCTCTTCGATCCTCTGTGATGTCGATTAATTTTTTGGATACGTCCTTAATTTAGATTTAAAACTTTTCATGTAAAGTTTATAATATTATAAAACCAGAATTCCATATCAATAACAATTTTTATTTATTAAATACGAACATATAAGTCAATAAGTCTTACGTAGCAACCAGTTAGAAAACTCTCTTATAACCTATAAGTTTTAAGAGTGGTAGAACCCGCTTTAACATCTTCGCACGAATTGGCCAGGTTCGCCCGGTGAAATACCACCACCACACAGAAAACAGGCGTGAAGTGGAAGAAATTCCGCGTTTCGTCTGATGAG